CTCAAGACTTGAGGGCAGGAGGGGGTTGGGGGTTGTTTGGGATGAGGAATCGGGGCATGGCTGCGTGTTGTGTCCGGTAAGAATGACCCCCGACCCGTGGGTCACGGTCGTGTCAGGGGCAAAGTGATCCGGCTGCTGTGTGGCTTCATGTCGGGGCCGTGGCGACTGGGGCCCGGCGGCGGGGGAGGACAAGCCGCCGAGACCCTTGGAATGCCGCCAAAAAGACCCCCTTCTTTTTTCCGTTCTTCCCTTCTCCTCTCCCCTCCACTCATGCGTGCACACGAGCCGTGGGCCGTGGGCACCGTATCGAGCCGCAAACACCCAAAACTCATCCGGCCCGCCCCTTCCATTCTGCACTGTGCGATGTGCGATGTCGACGAGGACAGGGGAGAGCTCTCACATGCCTACCCCTCCCCTTCCCCCCTTCCTTCCCCCACGGCACTCTCCCACCTCGTGCGACACCGCTTCATCCAGTTGCAACAGCAACCGACCGTAGGCGCTCACATGGACCCACGGGTCGGCAGCCGCCGCGACGACGGCACTAAGATCGCCACCGCGACCGCCGCCGACTTGCGGTGGTGGCGAGGACGCCACCGACCCCACCGCTGCCGCGACGGGCCCCACGACCGCGTCACGAAACTCCGGTAGCGTCATTACCGCCCGGTGTGAGACCAGGTGCGAGGGGTCGTGACGCAGCGTGTGGGGCGCCACATAGACCCATGGGACACCGGCGGCGCCGTTACCGCTGCCGCCATTGCTATCCCCGAGTGCTGCCCAGTCCTGTGTGGGACAGCGACAAGGGCGCCAACAACGGCAGGGGTGGGGGTGGTGAGGTGTTGTACGTGTGCACGTGCCCCGCGTACACATGAGGTACAACTACGCGGGCGACGTGCTCCTATCAAAACACACATCTACACACACATGTACATATGTATGCATGTATGTATGTAATAGCGCATATTGGTTTAATTGCCGCCCCGAACACTATCCATTACGTCAAGCCACGTGCTGTTGTAAAACACTGCTGCCAAAACCACAAAGCAGGTGCCAATATCCATTCAAGATCTTCATTTATTCATTTAGCAACCCCCTTGTGATGACTTGTAAGTGCACACATTGCTGGCACCAGGCACAGCCACCTTCTGTACAGCTCCGCCGCCTACATATCGCCCTGCAGACGGAGATCAAACAATCCGGGCCAGTACGGCCATGTACGACGCGTGGTGTACGACAAACCCGGGCCAACACTCACCATAAACTGCCCCAGGCGCTTCGACGTGAGGTGCGGTCCCATTTGCAAAATCATATCGGGACGGAGTCGCCGCCACCAGGCCCGGTCGCCCAACAACAAGTGGTCCATGTGATGGACGAGCGGTACGGCATTGTCGTACGCCTGGAACTCCGTCGATGTACCACAAGACCGCTGCTGCAGGGTTGGATGCGGCGTGGCCGCTACCCTAAGGCCCGACAGCACATCCGCCGCGACTGGCCATCCCAGGGCCGAACCGATCTGTGGGTCCGGGGACGATATACACACACACACACACACACACACCGTGTGGGCAATCATATTGGCTCGCGAGTATGGGCTCCCAGGTTACACCTCGGGAAGGTAACGCGACTCCAGGAGGGGTAAAACACACACACATATGCAAGGAGGACAGGTACAGCAGGTCAACTGGCGACGGCCAAAGCACCGACTGCAAGGGTGGTGGTGGTGGTTGCGACGGGGCGGGCAACGACAAGGAGGGCGGTGCATAGGGCGGCGGTGAGGCACCAGATAATGTGGAGAGGGCCTTCCTGTGGGTGCGACTGTTCGAGGGGTGGATGGAGCGGGCAGACGGAGAACTGCTGGTCGTGGCGGTGATGTGGTGGTTGTGGCGGTTGTGGTGGTTGTGGTGGTTGTGGTGGTTGTGGCGGTTGTGGCCCAGTGTTCTGGTACAGCTACACCTTGCTGTCAGTATTATGTATGATGCAGTCACATGCCGTCAGCGTTGCGTGTTGTGTCCGGTAAGAATGACCCCCGACCCGTGGGTCACGGTCGTGTCAGGGGCAAAGTGATCCGGCTGCTGTGTGGCTTCATGTCGGGGCCGTGGCGACTGGGGCCCGGCGGCGGGGAAGGGACAAGCCGCCGAGACCCTTGGAATGCCGCCAAAAAGACCCCCCTAAAACCCCTTTCCCCTTCTTCCCTACCCCCGCCCCCAGCAACTGCTGCGTCAGCTAATCGTGCACCATGTAACAAAACAGATCAGGTCGGTGATTGCGGCTACTGCTACTGCTGCTGCTGCCATTGCTGCTGCCACTGATGCTGCTACTGCTGCACTCACCTGGCGGGCCGCGACAATGTCCCGCGGGTCTGTCAGCTCGCCGACCACCACCAGCCCCCGCCGTGCGCCGCGCAGCAGCACCTGCAGTGTCGCCACATCAGCACCGCCGCTAATACCGTAGCCGTACGTACCGACGCTATCAGCAGCACCACCACCAAACCCAGAAGTGCCCATCGGCAACGAAGCGCCGCTGCCGCCGCTGATTGCGGAGGCGGGAGCGGGTACCGCCCCAGGCAGCGTGACGGCGGATACGTGCGATGTGTACGGCAGCTGTGAAGTCTGTGGTAGGCAGATAGGGGAAGATTAAAGCGGCAGGCAGTGTGTGGCTTAAAGAGGGAGTGTGTGTGCCAGTTCGTGTGTGTATTACGACACACGGTGTGTATTCCACGCGGGGTAGCACTGGCGGATGGCGGGAAACACACTCCCACCCCCACCTGCCAGTGCGCCAGCCCCGCCAGGAAGGGCCCCGGGGTCCAGGGGCCCGCCACGGGGGCGAGGGGCTCACGAAACTGCGTATGGGAAGAAGGGTGTCAGAGGGGGTGAGGGGGGATGAGACAGAGGACAGGTTACAAAGCGGAACCGGGTATGTATGTATGTATGTATGTATGTATGTATGTATGTATGTATGTATGTATGTATGTATGAGTGGGGCCGCCCAATTCACTGCAGGGGGCCCTCATGGAGCCGGGGCCCCCTCCCGGGTCAATGGTCGAGCGCTGCCCCCCTCCGATAGCTAGGGAGGGAGCCGGGGCCCCCTCCCCCACCTTGTTGCTGTCAGCTGCGCGTGGGACTGCCTCCCCGCCCCTGCCCTGCCGTGTCCTGCCCGGGCTCTATTCCGCCCTACCCGTCACCTTCCGCCCCTCCCCCCCCAACCCCTCCACCTGCAAGTTGAGGTGTACGGGTCCGGGGGGGCAGCTCGCCACCGCAGCCCGGTAGGCCGTGGAGGCGGTCGTCAGGACGGTACGGCCGGGGATGTCGGCGGCGGGGGGCGGCAAGTCGAAGAACCAGCGGACAAACCCGCCGAAAATCTTAGTCTGCGCACGCACGGGAAGGGCGCGGCGGCGGAGGGGGGATATCAGTTGGGCCGCACGAAGAGAGGGCGGTCGAAGTGGATATCAGTCAGTCCCGACTGCGGCTCAGCGGAGTATATCCGCGGACTGGCGTAGGGGCCGGGGTGGGGTGGGCTGGGCTGGGTTTGGCGGGGTGGAGTGAGGTGGGGTTGGGTTGGGTGGGGTGGGATGGGGTGGGCTAGGTTTGGCGGGGTGGAGTGAGGTGGGGGATTGGGAACCATTCATGCAGCACAACGCCAGGGATCAACTGCCGAGGATTTTCAGAGTGTGTGTGTGTCTCTCCCCACCCCACCCCACCCCACCCCACCCCACCCCACCCCACCCCACCCCACCCCGCACCTGGTCAATGGTCTGGTTGGCGGCGGTGTCCCGCAGCTCCGCGGGGCGGTCCGCAGTCAGCAGTAGCAGCGGCACACCGCTGAGGGACGCCTCCACTACAGCCGGGAGCAGGTTGGCTACAGCGGTTCCGGAGCTGGTCACGACAGCGGCCGGCCGACCGGACGCCCGGCCGTAGCCCAGGGCCCAGAAGCCCAGAGAGCGCTCGTCGATGCAGACGTTGAGACGGGCGCGGGGGTGGCTGGCAATGGCGTGGGTAAGGGGCGAGGAGCGGGAGCCTGTGGGGGTTGCGGCGGTGGTGGTGGTGCGGGGGGGGCGGGTTGAGGTGCGGGTGAGGGCCTCTGAGGTGCCGGGAAGTGGGCAGAGAAGGTAGGAAGGTAAGAAGGTAAGGGGAGGGGGGAGGGGGCTTGTGTTCCCTCCTCTTTTCGCTAGTATGGTGCTACTGCACAGCAGAGAGGGGGTAGGAGCCTCCCTTCCCCCTACCCCCTCCTCCTCCAGGTACTGGCCCCCTCCCGAGGCTTCCCAGCCCCACCCACGCACCCACCCACCCAGCCACCCTGCTCGCTCTCGCTCTAACTCACCAGGTGCTACACAGAACATGTTTACCCCTAGCCGGCACAGCTCCTCCACCAGCACACCCGCCCAGGCCACATTGAGGTTGGGGGCCGCGGCGGGCAGCGGGGCGGGGTCCAGCGCTGAGGACAGAGGCCGGATCTGTACGCGCATGGGGTGGGGGGTTGTGTGTGTAAGTGTGTGTGTGTGTGTGTGTGTGTAAGTGTGTGTGTAAGTGTAAGTGTAAGTGTGTGTGTGTGTGTAAGTGTGTGTGTAAGTGTAAGTGTGTGTGTGTGTAAGTGTGTGTGTGTGTGTGTGTAAGTGTGTGTGTAAGTGTGTGTAAATGTGTGTGTATGTGTGCCACTCTCCCACTCTCCCCAACCCACGCCTGCACCTTCAGATTCAGCTCCTGCCACTCCGCCTCCGGGTCCGAGCCGCGAACCACTCCCACACCCGCAAACATGTGAACCAACCAGGCAGGAACCAGCGCCTGCTGCGACTGCTGCTGCTGAGGTTGCTGAGGCCGTGACTGCTGCTCTGGAAGCTGCCTTGGCATTGTCGTGGATGCGGTTACAGCGGTTGCGATGGTTGTGGTGGTTGACGCGGGCATGGCAGGTCGCGGCGGTGTGGCTGTCGGTACTGGCTCCGGGTACATAAGGCCCGAGCGAATGGCCACCACAAACTCAGCCCCCGCTCCCGAGATCCAGCCAAAGGGACCCGCATACCACCCGCGATCAAACGACTCCAGCTCGTCCAGGTACCTGTAGATTGACGGTTGTAGGTTGGAAGTTGGAGGGTTTAGTTCGCGGTTATGAAATATCTCCTCGGCGCGGTGTCTGTCAACGTGGGAGGAGGTATTATTCGACTAGGTGTAGGCCGGTTAAGTCGGTTAAGTCGGTTGGGTCGGTTGGGCTCCTTTGGTGCGATTTCCGTTGATGCGATTCCCCCATCCCAGTTGTGGACCAAGGCGCCCCGCTAACACCACCCCAGACGTCCCCACCACGACCAATACCATCCCCACCAATACCGCCCGCACTGCCCTGGCAACCGCCAACACCGCCGGCCCCCACACTAACCACGGCGCCACCAGCCCCGCCAACACCAACACCGAAAACCAACATCGCATCCACCCTCGCCACCCCCACCCCCACCCCCACCACCCGGGGGCCCCACTACGGACCGCGCCACCAGTACCACCCTCACCTCCATCTAACACAGGATCATCGATGGACGGTGATACAACTGTACAAACAGGCGGTACAGCCAATCCCTACATTACGGGCAACGGCCCCCCCTTGGCGCAAGCACCAGCTGCCCCCTTACCCCCCTGACCCAGCCCCTCATCCCCCCGGCCCTCTCACCCTAACGCAGCCTGCCTGGGTCGCCCGCACACGGCCGGTGTGGGGTGCAGCGCCGCCAGCAGATGCGCGTCGTTCCGACCCCTCCTGAGCTCCGCCGCCACCCGCCCGAACAGGTGCTGCACACTGCCCTGCTTCAACACGGACTTGCGGACCTCCACACGCACGTCCTCACACGGACCTGGGGCCAGGGGGGGCAGGGGGGAAAGATAGACGAACCACGAACCCGAGTGAAGCTGCTGCCAAGGAAAGAGTGTACAAGAAGCAGAACTGACCAGGGCGGGGGGGACCCGGGGCGCGAGGAAGGGGTGTCTGTGTGTGTGCCGGGGGTAACACGAACCACGGGCGCGTGAAGCTGATACCAGAGATACCAGGCATATAGACGGACGGATACTCTTCACCGGATAAGACAGAGAGGAAGGGGGTGTAGGGTCCGCGGGGAAACAACGCGTCATCAAATGTCCCCCCGCACGTCCCCCGCCCATGTACCACTATGGACTAAGGCTTAGGCGGGGGCGGCGGGTTGTTCGGAAGCGGTCAAGGTGGCGGGTTCTTGGGAAAAGACGGAGGGCCCTATTATAGGAGAGAGCCACCTCACTCACTCACTCACCTGCCAGTTGGGAAGCAATCCAGTCACGTACAGTGCAAAACTCCGCATGATCTTTGGCCGAGCGGAGCAAGTCCAGGGATAGCCAAAAGTCCTAAGGGGGCCCGGAGAGGGCCGGGGGGAAGACGAAGTACGAGAGGGGTGGGGGGAGGGGGCGGAAGGGAGGGGGTGTACGTGTAAAATCAACAACGGGATGCGGGCAAAGGGGGGGTAGGGGGTTAAGGTGCGGGGTAGGGGTGGGGGAACAAAATGTCGGCAGGGGAGGGGGTGCTCGGGCGTGCGTGGGTTTTAATGATAGCTGCGTGGATTGCGTATTTTTGTGTTTTTGTGTTTTTGCGTGTTGTGGGGGGTTGCCGCCCGCCCTGTGGTAAGGCTGGCTGAGCGGTTCATAATATTTCGGGCTCATGGTCCCCCCCCGGGAAGGAGCAGCAACAAGCTCTTCCCCGCAGCCCCGGCGCTCCACAAACATCTCCCCCCACACCACCCCCTTGCTTCCCCACCCAGCCCTACGAGAGAGGGGTTCCCTGCCCCTCCCCTGCCCTCCCTCCCCTCCCCTCCAGAACCCACCTGCTCCACATCTCCCCCCCTGCCCCGGGGCCGTGTACCCGCCACCGCCTCACTCGCGACAAACCGACCCGTACGGGCGTACAGCCGCTCGGGAGTGCACGACAGAAAGGCGGGGCCTGGACCAGCGGCGGCACCGTCGGCTCCTGTCTCCAAGCCAGCGGGCCCCCCCCCTGGAGCAAAGTAAAGCTGGTAGGCCCGCGGGTCGCGCTCCTGGAGGCTCTGGTGGACGAGGGAGAGGGATGGGCGGGAAGGGACGGTGTGTGTAAAACACACACACATACACAGAGGTAATCATCACCTGATCCCGGCGAGGGGGGTAACCCCCGTTTAAGGAAAGGGAAAGGGGAAGGGGAAGGGGAAACCGCCGGGGGCCGGGCTGGGTTAAGGGTTAGGGGGAAAGAGGCTGAGCCGACATACGGAACGACTACGTCATGAGCCAGGGCCAGAACGTAAACATGAAGCTTTCTTTCCGTTGCTCCCCACCAGCCAGCCTTAGGTCCTGGACATAATCCATAACCCCCCTTACATACACACACACACACGCGCGCGCGCGCGCGCACAGAGACACACACACACACACACGCACACACCAGCAGCACGTGGAGCGGATCCAACGACCCCTCAATCCGCGTTGTCGTGCGTCGTGCCATAACCACTTTGCTTAACTCCTCCACAGCCTCGCTGCCGGGTAGCGGGCTGGCGCCGGGGGGTGAGGCGGCGGCGGTGCCGCCGACCCCCACAGGCAGCGCCGCGGGCGTCGTTGCAGCGGCGGCAGCCGCCGCCACCCCGAGCGTGCCGCCGCCGCCGCCGCTGCCAATCGCCGCCGCCGCCGTCAAATCGGAGACCGTCATCTTGCCGTCAATCAAATCTCGCAGCGCATCTAGTCCATCTCCATCGCCGTCAGCCGTCTGCCGTACAGCATTCGTAGCCGTCGATGCAGACAGCGTCAGCGCCGCCAGCAGCTCATCCAGGCCTTGCTGGCCGTTTGTCAGGTACTCCTGCCGACCCAACACAGGTGGACGGTGGGCCCATTAGACAGGAGGACAGCACCCCCACTACCACCGCCACCATCACCATGACGACCGCTACACCCACAAACTGACAGATCCAGGACCAGTCGGCCCCGAAAGGACAGAATCCACCTCCTCGGCCTCGGCCTAGGCGGCGACCCTCTCTCTCCCTCTCTCCTCTCTCGCTCCCTGTCCTTCCCGCCGACCGGCCCAAAAACCCAAATCCCACCCCGCAATTCCCGTCCCCACCTCCTCTCAGCTCCCCGCCCCCCCAACCCCCCGCACCCACCAGGCGGGCTAGCCCCGTGTCAAGCATGGAGGCCAGGGCGGCTGCGGCGGGCGCCCCCGTGTCCCCTCCCTCCTGGAGCGGTGAAGGGGGTTTACCCGGGTTAATGTGGAGGGAGCAAAACACACACATACATACACACACGCGGAGTCGTGGGTTTGTCGTGGCCACGTCACACCACGTCGCGACCGTTACTCATCATGCACTTGCTAACTGACTTGCTAATTGTCGCCGTCACCCGGGCTCTCCTCCTTTCCCCTGCCGCACTCCTTTCCCCCCTCCCTCCCCCCTCCCTCCCACACCCCGTACCTGCAGCCCCGCCAGCAGGGCCGCCATGTGTGCATCCCACTCCCGCTTAGAGGGGACGTGAAGGGGCTCCGACCTGCTTAGGTCGGAACAGCCGCCGGGCGCAGAGCGGGGCGGGGGGCCCCGGGGGATGGGGGTGGGGTGGGTGGGGTGGTGCACATCAGCACTACCAGACAGACCTCAGTCGATACAGCATCGATAAGATAAGTACATGGCAGCTACCTAGGTGAGGAGATCCCACATCTCTGCCAACAGGGGCACCGGCAGCGCACTGTAACAACCAACCACACCGGGGAGGGGGGCGCGATCTGCGCGACCTCGCTGCTGCTGTTGCTCGCACACACGCTAAACTTCACGCAACTGAAGAGAAACCTGCAACCGCAAGACTGTTGGAGTGAAGGTAACCTAGTCACCTCTTTTAACAAAATAATACAAATAAAAGTAAAATCCCGATCCAGTGGGCCTAAATCTGTTCTCCGGGCCCTCTCAAGAGGACAGTCAACCAACAGCAGGGGAAAAACACCGTGTCGTACAACGCACCGGCTGACGCGGAGGCCGTACGCTGACGTCGGCGCTGGCGGGCTCATGTGACGTAGGGCCGCCGCCGCCCGGGCCGCCGCCGTGGTCAAATCCGCGCAACCGCGAAACCCTGTACCGCCAAAAATGGGTTGGCGAGGAGGGGCAACGGACTTGTTCGGTAGCGGTTAGTTCGTTAGGGTTTGAATTGCGAGTTCAAAATGCGCAGCTTTGGACGTGTGGGGCTAGTTGATCCTTTTTTCTTCGCCTTTTGCCTACGATTGATTCCCACCTCGGAGCCCTCGAAACCCCACTACCCACAGCACAGCAACAACTGCCCGTCAGCTCAAGCCATGGCCACCACACCGCTCTACACTCAACCTCAACCTACCACTTAGCGACGGCGCCCCCTTACCTTCCGCCACCTCAGCTGCCAGCCCCGGCCCCGCCTCCGCCCCCGCCTCCTCGTCTGCTGCTACCGCCGCTGCTACTGCTGCTGCTGGGTCCCAAGCCAAAGTGACTGCCAGCAGGCTGCAGTCCTCAGCCTCCGTCAGCTCCAGGAGGGGCAGCACGAAGCAATGGGAGCCAAAAGAAGCCCATTCAGGATCTGGAGTCCGGCGGGGATCGAACCTGCGACCAGGGCACCTTGACATGTGAGGGACGCGAGCAACGCATGCACCAGCAGCACCAAAACACACACACACATACGCGACATACACTATTGCTACTAGAGCAAAAAAGGCTTGCACACGCACATTCAGTTCCGTACGTGCGAGAGTTCCAAGCGGCACACACACACATATATATGGGGAATGCGGGGTTGCCCAATAGCGACACAAGCACCGTTGACCACCACCGCGACGACATGAGGACCCGGCGCGGCACCAGAGCAAGGATATCGCTTCTCCACCCCTTACCCCACTCTTCTATACTTCTTCCCGGGGCTCTAGCCCGGCAAAGGGTGGTTTGCGAAGTCTGAAGCTGCTTCTTGAATTGGCTTCTGCACTGCAGCATTCCCCCGCTCCTCGACACCTGCGGCCCAGCGCCCACCCGCACCTGATGCCGCCGAGAATTCGAATCCGCGGCTGGTCGGGGGATAGGAAGCGCTGCAGCGCCGAAACCACACGGCTGTCGAAACCGCCGCCGCCAGGGCCCCACCACCGCCACGCCGCCCCGGCCCCTGCCACGGAGGTCCAGCCGCGGGTGGCTGCCTCCGCCGCCGCTGCCCCGGGAGTATCCGGTGCCGAGGAGCGTCGCCCGCTGAAGTACAGAAACGGCCCGCCAGCGGCAGGGCTGGGATCCGGACGCCGCTGCAGATGGTGCTGCTGCTGGCCGCTGAGCCAGCGGAGCGCCGTAGTTGCCGTACGGGGCACGGCAACTTCCAGCCGAAGGACGCCCGACGGCAGCGCCGCGTGGTCGGCAACAGCGCCGGGCAGGCGCCGCAGTAGCGCCAGTGCGCCGTCGGCAAGCGTGGCCTTCCGTACGAGCAATATGTAGGAGGTGGGTGGGTGTCGTGTGTGCGTGTGCGTATATGCCGGGGAAAGGAGAGGAACGATTGGGTAAGGAGGAGAGAACGTCCCTGACATGCTGCGTCCTGGATGTGGTGTGAAGAAGTGAGCTATACTATACGTGGGCGAAGACAATGGGCTCAACTTACTTGTGGTCCTAGGGTGATGGTTTTGCAGACCGCAACGGGCAGGAGGAGCCACAGGTTGGGGGCCTTCGCCTGGGTGCCAGCGGGCTGGTCTGTGGCTGGGGCGCCGCTAACCGGAACGACATTCGTGGGGCCGCCGTGGCGTGACGCGCCGCTAATGGCGTCAGCAACCCCATTGGCGGCATTACCGACGGCTTGCCGATCTGGGTCATGCAGTTCATCGCGAGCTTCTGCTCCAGTCGGCGTCCCGGCGACAGAGGAGCTTTCCGCTACGCCTGATGGCCCGGCGACAACTGTGTACGGCAGGGCTCCGGCAGCGCCCCGCAGTGGCCGTCGATTGCCGTGCAAGGCAAGGCGGCATACAGTAGAGCATACGGGAACGGATTGCTTTGTGACGGGAAGTAAGGTCCCCGGCGCGCTCGTCTGTGGCGCTGCAAACCCTTTTGCGCTTGCCACAAGCGTCATGTCCTGCAGCGGCCAAAGGATTTGACGAGGCTATAATCCGTGCGTTTGTAATTATATAATTATGTCTTCATACAAGAACCTATGCGTAGTTGATGCGTGCTGAGCGCTGCGCCTGGCGGCGCCTCAAGACTCGTGCAAGTGTACTCAACGACTGAAGAATCCTGAGTGAGTTGCTCCACGAACACGTATATAATACAGATTTGGTTAACACTCAAGGCCCGGACGCACCTCTCAGTCACTATTATCCACACAGCATAAAGTCATAAAGTCAATTGTATATCGTTGGTGCACCTTTGTTCATTCTGCTGAAAAAACTATAACGAATTATGATAATCATAGCACTTTCGATTGTCATGCATGTCGCGGGCGGGTGCATAAGCTTATCAGCAACATGAGATGCATAATCACAGGCGTAATAGTTACACACAACGGCCTTAATCGAGCAGTCCTTATATATTATATTGCATTCAAACCACTGCGACCTCTTGCAAGGATGACAGACGACATCAGGATCTCGTACAGGTGGCCATATATTTGGAAACCTTCAGGCCGTGCCAAAACGCCTATTCGTCCTAGCATTAACTTTATTTATAGAAACATTTTCGACATAAATCAATAGCTTGCTGAAAATTTGATTATTTGGATTTGAGCATTTGCAAGGAAACCGACAACCGTGCCAAGCAAGTCCATGCAACATGGCAACAGCCAGCCGTGCCAAGCGAGACAATGCAACATGACAACAGCCAGTCGAAGCATTCCAAAGTTAAGATGCTACAAAGCGCAAGTGAAATGTATGCTGCGCACCGGCTGCTTTCCGTGCAGTCAACAGTACCTCCTAATGAGTCGTGCTGCAAGGTCTCTCGCTGCACGACACAAATAGGAAACGCTTTGCTTCACCCAGCGCTGAATGGGTTGTTGTAGACCCCGAGAATGCACGGGCTTGGATGCAAACCCGGTTCCCAAACTGGCACCGTGAGCTGTCTCGCCCAGCATGCACATATCCGGTAAGAAGCTTACCCAACGAAAACCTGCCGTGCAAGACCCTGCTATGCTGGCCTTAAGCTGGTCTTTCTACCGCTTACACCTTAGAGCGCAGCCATGCATGCGTTGCTGTTCAACAGCAACGCATACAGACGCACCCACTTGGTGGGTCTTGGCGGGTTTTCGCTTCTCAGGCAGGGCAGCATAAAGACTTCCCATTATCGCAGATCGGCACTGCAGTCAGTCAAGGAAGATGACTATAACTCGGTGATTGTGTGTGATTACTGAATATGTGTCGGAACAAAAGCTGTGTGTTGCGAAAGGGCTGTGAAGTATGCGGGCCAAAACCCTTCAAGCATATCCATCCATTTATGTTTCACATTCAGTTAGAAACGAAGTCCCAGTCTTATGCTGGCTGCTGAGCTGTGCAACGGATTAACGATGGCGCCTGTGGAGCTCCAGCTCTGCTAGGGAGCTGCCGTACAAAAGCACGCTGCAGCTGGGCAAAACCCCATTTTAAGCTTCAGCATGCATGACCCCTTCGTAGCCGCAACTGGCACATGCGTGGAGAAGAACGCCCAGCATGTGTGCGACTGCATACACTTCCCAGGGCGGTACGACGGGACGCGACCTTCATCTTCGACCCCTCCACCCTCCCATTTCGGTGAAGGTTTTACCCTTCTCCTAGCCGCCTCAGGATGTACACCGCACTCCGGGAACCGGCCTCCCTTTGATTTCTCGGAATCCCTTCATTTGGCGTTCATTTCGTGCTCATTTCGGAATGAAGGGCTGAGGGGCCTTTAGAACATATCGAAGGAGTTTGGCTGAAGTGGTCATAATTCACGGATTCCTTTATAGAAGCCTTCTGATATTGCCATGCCAGCATTTTCTATTTAAAAATAGGTATTTTAGAGGTAAGTGCTTTAATTCAGGCACAAATTTTTGTCCCGCCCACCGGAATAGAGATGAGTTCAACATCCCCAGTCTGGCCGCAGGTGCCCATGTGCTGCCAAATGCGGACCTGAGCCCCCCTCGGCAGAGTGTCCATGCGCATGGCCCTGCCGGGTGAGGATCTGGCAATAACCTTTGCTGTGACCGCGGACCGGTTGACTCTCACAAGGATTGCCGCAATATGTGACCGCATTGTAAGGACCCCGCCGATTCAGCAGGTTGAAGGCGGTAGAGAGGTTGGAGATGGCCCCATGGAGAGTGGTGGGGCAGGGCAGACGGTCCGGACAGGCCTTCCTGGATGAGCACCTCTCCAATGCTCCTCGAAGAAAGTCAGAAGGGACTCCGGGTCACAGCTTGGCAGGTTCATTGTAGGGCGGTGTTGCATCAGCCAGGTATGCAACTAGCAGGATTGGCTCCGAATCTTTAGCCAGCTGTCAGGAGCCCATTGCTGGCATATGGTATAATAAGCTGATGAAGGCGCGGGGCTGGGCATTGGGGGAACCCCCAGGCCGACCCTCGAGTGAATGAAGAAGGGCGGAAAGAGAGGAGGGTGCGGAGCCGGATGCCCCGACTCAGTGAGACGCCACGCTAGCAACCTGTAGAGACAGTGTAAGTCTCACCGGCTGGAGAGATCCAGGACACCCATCAATAATCTGCACGCACCTCGGAAGCTACAGCGAGGTTTGGCCTAGCTGGAGCGGTCCAGACAAATCGCACTAGATGACTCATCTGCCACGTAAGTTGCCACGCGTGAAGCTGTGAAGCTTAGCCCCACAAAAGGGGAAGGTTGAGGTCGCACCAGCCTGGTAAGTTGAGTGTCTGACGTCCACGCGCATAGCGTGTATAATACAGTCTACGGCGCGTCTGTCAGTCAGTTGTGTAATGGCTACTAAGCCCTGGGGAGATTCTTGGTAACGTCTAGTTGGAAAAGGTAGTACCGCTGAATCAACGGCGCTGATGTCGCCCCAACTTGGGGGTTGGCCATGGATGCTAAGTGGCAATTCAACAGCCCAGCGGAAACTGTCTTGTTGGTCAGCTTGTTTCCCCCGAGTGGCAGTTATTGAACTGTCGCCTGCATAACCGCCTGCGACCTTACCCATAAGCTTTCTCAATTTAGCTGTGGAACTCTGGTTACAAGAAATGCCTTCGAAACGTTATAGTAATACCTCCCTTGAGGTCGCCTTTGGTGGCGCCCTCCAAATTAAAAAATTTCGAACATTCGCTTTAGGTAATGTGGCTGATGATGGTGCGTGGATGGTTAGTCGCCTCATATGTTTGTACTGTTCCGACAACGCTGATGCTCATGAACCTCAGCTGCAACGTTCGGGCCGTACTTATATTACGATGGATGCTTAGGTTTTGCCCGTATCATGTGCTTCACATAAATTATTTTATGATGCAACGTTGCTGAGTGCGCCAAAGAGTGTTGACTAGACATCGGCTGGCAATAGAAGTTGGCAACCAGTAAAGTAAGACTCAATTGTTCCAAATGCAATTATAGCATTATCCTGCACAAGCAATTATATCTGATCGATCTGATAGGGAAACACTTTGGCGAGCGTCATGCTCCTTCGCCCGCCACATGCGATCAGTCCGTAGCTCGACAACCTCCAAAGCGCCACGAAGGTTGCCATGCGAGAGCATTATCCAGATTGTGATATCGTCCAAGGATTAACATGCGTGAGGGGGTAGCGCGATCACCTCTCCTTGGCGCAGCAATCTGCACGCTCCTGCTTGCACTGCTGCGGACAACCCTCCCCGTCAGTGCGGTCTCAGACACCGGTGCAGCGACACGGACGCTTGAACGGCTCGCGTCAGCACTGACGGGGGTAGCTCTGTCCTGGGATGAGGAGGTACGGCGGGCAGCGGGTATGGCAGCCCCAGTTTAGGTGTGGGATCGACCGCTGTGCCGGACACTCACATAGCCCCTGCCTGGACCTCACCCTCAATCCCATGGATCTCATCCTCCTATCCCTCCCTCCCTGGTCGGTCACCCTGTCGTGGCTCCTTGCCCAGGTGTTCTCAGGAGACCGGGGTAGTGAGCGGATACAGCCCCGGTTTCCAGGGGCTGTAGACCGGGAGGCCGTCAGCGGTGGCGGGGGAAGAGCGATTCGTACGCTGGAGGAGATGCAGCAGAGCGGGGAGGGTGGAGACGTTGGTGATGACGCCAGCTGGGGTGATGACAGCAGCGGGGACGACGGTGTCGAAGGCAGCAGCGCAGAAGTATTCACCGTTGAGGAAGCGACTTATAGAGAGAGCGAGATGGGGAATGCAACCTTAATGCATGCGTTGGAGGACGACGACGGCGACGACAGCGAAGACGACGAAGAGGCCGGTGATGATGCCGCGGCTCCGTCGCAAGCGCCGCGGCCGCCTAAGGCGGAGGCGGGCACCACCCCAGTCAGCCCTTCACAAGTGAAGCCGGGGCGGCCGCCGCCCCTGGAGCTCAAAGTCATTCCAAACCAGCCGGTACGGCAGCACTTCAGTTATGCGGTTATATGGCGCCCCCTCACTGATTACACGGATGCCCAGGGCAGTTATTCAGTCGACGGAAGGAAAGAGCGGCACGAAATAGAAAGGTCGGGACTTGGGGATGAGCTCTTCGTTGGATCCATACGCCGCCCGTGTCTCACTCGCGCCACCGTCCACACGCACGGCACACAACTCCCCCGGTTCAGGCTTCAATTCCCGCCAAGTGCGTTTTCATCCTGGGCACCGGGCGGTCCGGATCCACCTCGTTGATGGACGCGCTCAACCAGCTGCCGCATTACCTGATCCGCGGGGAGCAGGAGGGGTCGTTCTGGTTCCTGTACCTGGCCTGGAGGTACGGGGCTGGGCTGGGGCTGGGTCGCGGGGATGCAAGTGGAGGTGTATGTAGTGGTGAGCCCCGTATGTAGTGGTGAGCCCCGAGTGGTGAGCCCCGCAAGGCCAGACATGGACGCAAAACAGCGGCGGAGGAAAACATTATATGTGCTGTGCGTAATGTTTCATAGAGTCAGCAATGCAGTTAGTGGAATAAACTCCAGAAGTGCGAAGGAGAGAGATATCGCTTACGTCTAAACACATAAAAGCAGCTCCGGAAGATTCTACCGGGCACCGGTGTTATAGGACATGGTGGCCGGTGCCCACCCGCCCCCGGAAGCGACACGGCACAACAACACAACAGGAGGCAGGGCAGAGCGACCGTGGGGCAACAACAGGCCAGGGATATGAAGCTACATGTCGCATAGTAGATGTGGGGATGCCACACCATGAGCATGAGGAGGATTAAGGAAGCAAATCTGGGCGCAGGCAGCCCACGGACCTACTGCGTAATGAAATGCTGTGGTTTCAGGGAATGGCGGGTCCCATGGGCTTGAGAGCACCATTGATCAGCTGGCGACTGTGGAGTCCAGGTCCTCTTCAGGGAGCGGCTTATTGTTACAACTATCCTTCTTGCTAACAACACGCGCTGCTTATAAGACTCTTTCCCCTTGTTGCACCAACCCACATACATACGTACATACATCTGGGGATGTACACACACACAGGATGTTGAAGAAGTCGATGAAACACTCGACCAACTTTCAAGTCCACCAAAAGCAGGCGGAGGCGCTATACGGCACTCGCGATGCGGGTTGGCTTAGCTATGACACCGTGAAGCGAGTGTACGACAAGTATGCCGTAGAGCACAAGTTGCCGTGGTTTAATGATTTGCATGATGCGCGCGTCAGCGACGCGGCGCGAGCATTTTACGCCGCCACGTACGGATATCATGGGCCGGGTGAGATACGGTCCGGTCCGACCGGGGTTTAATGCTGGCATGTTGGTTTGGCTCCGGAACCGCCTTGTCCAGAACGTTGGGCGGAATATGCTCATGCGGAATAATGCCTCTACCCGACCTCTAGTCCTTCTCTCCCTGACATTCTTTGCAAAGAAGCTCAGTAGCTCCTTGCATCCTGCACCTTTTCAGATGCCGTTAGTGGCTTCAAGGAGATTCGCTTCGTTTGCGGGCGCGCTTTTCCCTCCCCGGACTGTCGCTACAGCGACTTTGACAGCTTCATTCGCTTCCTACGGCTTATGTGTACTGATGCCAAGGTAAGGCTAGGGCAGGGACGGGGTGCTTGAGGGGTTTGGGGGTTCTTCACTGGTTCGGACTGCCACATCATCTCTGACATGTGACTTTGTGATGTGTATAGCTCCAAGGTAACGTGTGGAGTGTGCGCCCGTGCCCCTGCAGGTGCTGCTCAACTCCCGCGCTTCAGCTGCCCCCGAGGACAACCACAAGCTCATAAGCATGGTGGCGGGTGCCGGTGTGAGGCCCACAAATGCCACACACACATTTGCCGAGGATTTGGAAGTCACGCACAGCTGGTATGACAGGTATGTAACAACAGGCGCTCGGAGTACCCTTTGGGTTTGCCCGTTTGGGGACCTCATGGCTTTTGTACCTTGCTCCGTACCTTGCAGGTACGCGAAGGAGCATCCAGGTTCTGCGTTCAGGGTGATTATGGAGGACATGTTTGATGAGGAGGTGAGTGAGTGGCAGGGGTCGGGGTGGGTGGGTGGGGGAAAGGAGGCTCCAGGGGGGTGGGGCATGAAGGTGGGTGGACCTGTCACGGGTCAGAGTGGACCGGTCCTTGGGTGGGTAGCGCCGGTGAAGTGGTACGGTGTGTTGCACCCTGTCTGTCTGTCTGTCTGTCTGTCTGCCCGCCTGTCTATTTACCTGCCTGCCTGTTTGCCTGTTTGCCTGTTTGTCTGTCTGTCTGGCGCAGAAGAACGCTACCCTGGCTCGTCAGATTCTGAAATTCCTGAAGGAGGACACCGACGCCAAGATCTCCTTCAACCGCATGCCCTCCTGGTCTGTGAATCGGAGTAAGTTCCACCGCAATCGGCCAAGGAAGAAGGAAGTTGAGCGGGACCCCTGGGACCTGCGGCGGCGACAGCGGCGGCGGCAGCTCCTCAGGGGGTCCTCGAGCAGCGCTGCATCCGACGCTGTCCCCCCCTAGGGTTTCACTTCCTGATAGTACCTGAGGTTTTCGAGCCTAGTTGGCGTACCGTTCGCATAATAGACAAGACAACGAGCGATTAACTGTTACATCAGTTGGTGAAGCCAGCTGGTGGTGCCTGCAAGCAGAGAGAGAGAGAGAGAGAGAGAGGGTACTGCTTCAGTGGAGGAGGAGGGGGGAGAGGAGGGGGAAAAGCCGAGGCGCGCACCGGAGCGCGGGCTGTCGTGTACCAGGTCGCGGGTGGCCCTAGCCCGGCGAGCTGCAGTGGAATCAGTACTGACCATGATGAAGAACTCGCCAAGTGCCGGTCCAGGGCACTGACAATGCCTAAACCTATGGTTGCGTAGCTCGTACGATAAATACCGCTAAAACGCGCTTAGCGCGCCACACCAAACACTGATGCGTGAGTGGCACTCGCGCTAAATCCTTTCAGAAACCTTGGCTTTACTGCAATTACTTGTAAAACCTTCCGTGATGTCTTAGATGGCATCTGAGGCTCGTTGAGCTGTGCGGGGAGTAATGAACGGCGTGTGATCAAGGAATGAGAGGAATGCGGGCATCGGGTGATACAGACGTGTAGGACTACACTAGTGGCAGGTCTCATCTTGGCTGCTGCAGAACTGAAATATTGGATATGCGGGAGCCGTGGCTACGCCTGCCATGGAGTTGTGGAAGAGTGTACACAGCGTGTGAATATGTGCGCTGTAATGTTTGACAGCCAAACAGGCCCCGTGTTTATTACGGCGTCTTGTAGATACTATCTACCTTTACAGTTTTATACAGATGCATGGTATGTTGCATGTCATGGTTTGTGAATCTCGTGGTCGCGTGTATCTTGGATGGGTCGGAGTACGATGGCCTGATCCTGAAAAGCCTTTTAGCTCCATTCCAATATGGAGAGACCAAAGAGCTAATGCTGAGGAAATCTCAGCAGTTTTGTAACATGGTTGTCGTAGACTCAATTCTCATGCTACTGGGCTATTGACGTACCGTCTACTGTGAAGGTTTCCTGTTACCAAGAAACGGCAGTGGTATTACGGCTGCGACAGCCAACAACTGGTAAAACTGTTTACAACTGTTTACAACTGAAACGCGACATGGCAGCTGGCACTTTGGCGCTTGGCGGCTGCAGACCCTTTGCGTACATAATGCTCTATCCCAACTAAGTTTTCCACACAGTTTTGCAAGCAAGGTGAGTGAGGATGGCAGCTCTGACCAAACCCTGAAGGTATTTTTACAGTTGTGAAATAAGGAACATTTTGTAGCTTGCAAACAGCAGCAATGACGTCATTGTTTGGAAATCTTTTTGGTGGAAGTGGCTCCTCAACGGGACTCTTCAGCAATTCGAGCAAGTTCAAGGCACCGGAACAGCCACCTTTTCATGTTATTGGGAATCGCGCCGGGCATGAGGAGGACACAAGAGTAGAATTCAATGTAGCCCCGAAAGTGCAAAAAAAGCAAAAGGCTGTTCATGATGGCGCCGCCGACGGGTGTGGCCCCGCAAACCACAAGGCGAAGGCCTCGAAAGCCAAAAACGACATCCGACCCTCCGATGGATCTCACGCTGTAGCACCTGAGAAGTCGCAGCGCTCGAAGAAGGAACGGAGGCGGACCTCGCAATCGGTTGACGATGACGGTGGCGAAGCCGACGTTAACGATGCTCGCCCTACCACCGGTGGCGGTGGCTTCGACGCAAAGGCCCCCAAGAAAAAAGACAAGCAGAGCAAGCGCGCGGCTGAGGCCCCGGATTCCGGCGCTGACGCAGCTGTCCCACCCGCGGCGGGCCTCCGACCTGGCAAAAAGCCAAAGGCAACCGTTCCGACAGCGCCCGGCAAGGCGGCAGAAGCATCACCTCGCGCCCGCGCAGCCCTGCAGCAGTCGCTGGACGCTGTGAAGGGAGAGCCGACGGCGGCGGCGGAGGGTGGTTTGGCTTCCCAGAAGGCCATCCGCAAGGCCGCGGCGGTCGCCGCTGCCGCCGCCGCCGCCGCCACAAAGCAGGAGCCACATCAACAGCGAAAGGGAACAGGGCCCTTGGAAGGCAGCGGCGGCGGTGGCGGCGTCACCAAGCGCAAGGCTCCTCCGCCTGCAAAAGGTGAGGATGACGATGAGGATGCGGACATGAGTGGCGACGTCAGCGATGGCAGCGACGACGTCAACACCGGTGTGAACCAGCAGGAGTTGGCGGACGTAGGCGGCACTGGGGGTGTTGGGGCTGATGGGGCCGAGGGGGGTAGTGATGGCACGGCGCCAACCGCCAAGCGGCGACGTCTCAGTCCGGAGGAGGAGCTGGCGAGGCTGAGCCGCACCGTCTTCGTGGGCAACCTGCCTTCGTCATTTGCCACCACGCCCAAGCTGGTCAGGCGACTGTTTGAGGGTTTCGGAGCGGTCGAGTCCGTACGCATCCGAGGGGTGCCTGTCAAGGTGCGTGTCTGTGGTGTGTATATGTATGTATGTATTGTTGTTGGTGTGGTAGGTAGAAGGCAACACATCGCACGCGTGACGTAACGCATCACAAGTGCGTTCGCGTCTGTGTTGGAGAGCGCCATCATGAGCTGCATAACGTACCGCAATGTGCAGTACGGATGTACTGCATTACCGTACACAGCCTCCGCGGTCCGTCCATGGCATTATCAAGGGTGCTGCTGGCACCTGCTGACGTGTACGGCTGACGCATGCGTTACGTAACGGCACTAGCGGTACGGCAATGGCCCGGACGGGACAGGCTCCTGCGCGCCCCCAAGGACTCACTCCGTCTCTCCACTTTCCCCGCTTCCCCTTTCCTCCCCTGGATCCGGATTCGGATCTGGGTTCCTGCCGCCCTGCCAGATGGACGCTAACATGCCCCGCCGCGCCGCCATCCTCTCCGGCAAAGTGGACTTCGAGCGGGGTCCCTGCACCGCCTTCGTCGTCTTCAAGCAGCCCGAGGTGGCCCAGGCAGCCTTGGGAGCTAACATGCAGCTCGTGGAGGGACACCACATAAGGGTGGACCTGGCGGCGCCCAGGAGCGCAGCAGCCGCGGCGGCGGCGGCAGCGGCAGCGGCGGTAGGCAGTGGGAAAGTCAAGGCAAAGGCGGCCGCCGCCGCTGCCGCGGCGGCGGCAGCTGCGGCGGCCGCCGCCGGCAGCTCCGGTGGCATGTACGACCCATCTCGCAGCGTGTTTGTGGGGAATCTGCACTTCCAGGTGACGGATGAAGAGCTTATTGAGCTGGTGTTGGGGCAGGCGGCGATGCACCCCGAACTGACAGATGCGGTGGAGGCGGTTCGCGTGGTTCGCGACCGGGAGAATACCGTGGGCAAGGTGGGTGGGCGGAGGGGTTCTCGGTTCAAATGGGTGGGCGTGGCAAGATGGCTGGATGGCGGGGTAAATGGGTGTATGAGATGAACTTGGGCTGAAGATGAATGTGCCTCAACCTCCAGTGGTCCCGAAACCATGAAAAGAGAGCTGTACGACAGGAAACAAACAATTTGTACAAGTCGTTATTACAACTACCCATGTTTTGTAATTTCATTAACGGAAGCCTAACCAGTTTTGCCAGAAGTGCGAGGTGTCCAGTCCTGCCGGGATTCTTGTCTTGTGAGCTGTACGGTGTACAGCTGTACAGCCATGTCGTACGGTATGTTCTGATAGATGTCTACTTCAGGATTTGTTGCAGCTGTGGCACATGTGGGACATGGCTGCTCCTTCGGGCTGCAAACGAAACAGAGGGAAAGGAAGAGAGGAAGAAAGCGACCGAATAAATAAAGCGAAAAAGCTTCCTTTAGCAACAGAGCGGCCCGGGCTCAACACCGCTGGCGCCTTCTTCCACCCGACGGCTCTGCGACTGCAGACCTGGACTGTGCGAATGGCAGTCGGTCTGTCGGAGGCCATCTTGTTCTGCCATCCATCTTGTTGCCCACCACCCGAACTCCTTCCTTTCCCTTCTCCCGCTGCATCACGGAAATCATGAACAGGGATTTGCGTTCGTGCTGTTGAAGACCAAGGAGGCGGCCCGGGCAGCACTCTCACTGAATGGGCAGCTGCTCCGAAACCGACCTCTGCGGGTCACGAAAGCGAGCCGCCAGGCCGCAGCGGCCGCAGGTGGAGGAGGACGTGGTGGCCGAGGAGCCGCCGGAGGTGCCGGCCGCGGTCGCGGCGGCGGTCGTGGCGGCCGCACCGCCGCCGTCGCCTCCGACCCCTCCAGCTGGCAAGGTATGAAAACCAAGGGCAAGGTGAAGGCGGTAAGGGCGGCCGATGGCAGCGGAGGCGGCGTCAGCGGTCCGCCGGCAAACCGGTCACGGACCGACAAGAGGCCGGCGGTGGCGGCGCGCAAGGCGGCGGCGGCCTCGGCCCTGGCGGCGGCGGCGCCAAAGCTGTACGGGATCCAAAAGAAAAGGGCAAACGGCATGGATGCGACCTTCGGCGGCCGTAGCGGTGGTCGGGGAGGTCGCGGTTCCTCCGGTGCCGGGCGGGGCCGATTTGGCCGCGGTGACCGGGGAGGAAGGAACCCTGCGGCAGGTCGGGGTGGGGGTCGCGGCGGAGGTGGAGGCGGAGGTGGCGGCTTGAAACGGGGCAGGGATGGAGGCGGTCGCGGAGCGGGACGTGGGCTGGGTTTTCCTGGGCGAGGAGGCGGCGCTGGTAGGGGCAGGGGCCGAGGGCGAGGCAGATGAAGTTGGGGGTTGTTTAGTCACAGAATTGGTGGTGCCGCTGGTTCGGGTTATGTGGGTGGCTTACTCCCGGGGTGGGGTGGCGGGAGCGTGGAGCTGGCTGAAGGACCTGCGCGTGGGCTGACCAGCTTGCCAGCTTTGGGCCGTCGTGCTGGTATTCGGCCTTTTTGTTGGGGGCCCGGCCCAGGCATGTAGATTGGGCACCGGCAACCATGCGCAGGGGTTACTGGTGTCGCGTGTCCCCTTGCCGCGTGTTCGCTCTATTTAGAGGACAACAACAACAACAACATCAGGAAGCAGTTGCAAGAGGGAACCGGCAGCCTTGCCGCAGTTGCATGTGTGTCAGTGTGCCCCATGTGTAAGGAGGTTATTTCGCTTTGATGGAGGCTCGGAGCAAGTAGACCTTCAGGAGTTGATACTTTTGGAAGTCGAGGGCAGGCCGGCATTTGGGGGAGTTGTTGCTCTGGAGTGTTCAGGGAGCCGTTGAGCAGTAAGGGGGGCGGGGTGCGATGACATGTACGGCAATGCCGTTCTCTATGTGTGACAGGGCTGTTCCTACACCCCTCCCCCCTTTCAGATGAAGGGGGGGAAGCCGTCCACAGGCCGAAAGCCGGGCAGCTGCTGCGGCAGGCGTCGAATAAGCCGCAATAAGCCGCACGTCACGCAGTCGCGCGTCCTACAGCACGGCTGCACACGCCCGCATATTCGCAAGTGAAGCAACCGTTATAGCCCATCTGGGCCAGTGGGGCAGTCGCCCTGGGTCGCCTGCCTTGGGGTGGGGGCGCTTGGGGCCTTCCCAATCGATCCAGTGACATCGCGCTCAGAGCAGAGGCCGCTACGCAACCCGTGAACCGGTCGGGGAGAGGTTGGGTGACGGGCTGATCGAGTCCGGGCACCCCGGAACGGAATGCAAGCTGTTGCAAGGCATCATCTCAGCTTGTGAGGCAACGTGATCCGTGGGGGAGAGGGAGGAGGACCGTACAAGGGGGAGTCCACGAGGGGGCGCACGGGCTCCTGAGGCGCGGCTGAGCAACTGTAGAGAGTCGTTCAGCAACCAAGCAAGCACACACATACACACACACACTCTTTGTGTCTCTCTGACACCCCAAAATGACTATTTCCAAAAGGGGCGGTATTTCGGCGGTGGATGGACAGTTGATTGCGCTCCACTTGGAGGGGGGCGAAGCGGTGGGTGGTTTCACTGTAGATTCGGGTCTTTCTGCAGCTTTCTGCACTCTAAAGATCAAGAATCAAGAACTGCCGTACATGGTTGGCCAAAGGTGCTCGTCTCAAGCTGTACATGTAAGTGGGTTGTACATCCTAGTGGGCCTTATGAAGGAGGTTTCTTTCTGTATGGCACCAGCGGCGAAATGGAAAAGAGAGAGCGACGGAAAATTAAACAGTTCCCGATACTTCAGCCGGCAGCAGCAGCAGGCTCCCGCCGGGGTGCCAAACAGCGACTTTCCAAACACCAAGCGGGATGGAGGTTTTGGCCGACTTTACCAACACCTGCTGGTGCCAAGTACGGAAGTCACCCATGCCAAGCGCCTGTTTACCTGTACCTGCGGATGGAGGGGGATGGCCATCCCGTCTAGTACGTATCAACGGACAGCAGTCAGGCAGCAATCGATGGCAGCAGTCACATGAACGGTACATACATCGCCGCGACTGCGTGTTGGCTGCGAGCTGCGTGGAGGTGGAAAAGAGAGAGATAGAGGGTGGTTCCGCGAGCCATTTAGCATGCAGCAGTGCGCGCGTGCAGGACGGGCAATCAGCGCGATCGCCTGTAGAGACTTTCCAGCGGTCATGCTGGGCCAGGGCGGCGACCTGGCCTGCTTGCATTTGCGGATGAAAGCCCTACCAAGGTGTCGAGGTGTGTTATGTGGGAGCCCCCGGCAAGGGCCGTGTGGTCGGGAAGGGAGGCGGAGGAGTGGGGTTATTACGCTTCGAGCGATGTGGTCCACGCAGGTGGGTTCAGGTTAGGGGAAATTGCCAAGGGAAAGGCAGGTGGCGGGAAATGCGAGTCCGTGTACCGTGTACGAGGATTTGGATTGGAGCACATGTGGATTACGGTGGGGTAACCCCGGCCAGCCGAAATCCTGCTGGAATACTGCTAAATTGTGCGGTCGGATATGGCAATATGGGACGAACGAATGAGTGACGGAGAGCTCATTCTCTCTCTCGTCCCATATCGGCCTATTACTTTTTTGTAATATGAAATCGATACACTGTCAGGCCGATGTTTTTACCTTTGGTTAGATCTGTGCTGTAAGAAAGCAAAACTCTAGAGGTAAAAGTGGAAATGCGGGCTTACGTTCCCCTGTAGATGTCTCGCATCCCGGCAGGTGTTGCCTCCAGCCTCTTCCTATAGCGAACACCGAAACGGATATCGAAAGCAACATGCGTTCCTCGTTTCATCGCACGTCATCTGTTGGTCAACCGCCACGCCTTGAGCAAAAGATACCTGGTCCGCCAGGGCTTCCATGGCTTGGGCAGCTGCCCGCGTTCCTGCGCAGCAGGTTTTTTCCAAAGCAAATGCTAAAATGGGCGGAAGAGTATAACGGAGGTGGGATCTTGCTCAGCGTCGGCCTTTACGATTGCAACATAGTTAATTGGCGTTGTCGACTACGCCTCAAACACCATCGCCGCTTATGGTCCGTACCCTATCTTCCCCGGATTAACGAAACAAGTACCTGGCTCAGGTTGGCGACCCACGAGGTCTAACCTTTCCATGGAACCTGTCCCGGGACTATTGTCACCGGCCCCCGTTGTCTTTTCCGGTAGCCGTGTTTGTTCTTCCTCCATTATAGCACCAGCTCTACTACCCGTCTCCCTTCTCCAACCGACTTCCCACCCGTTCCCCCACCCCAAACCCCTCCCGTCCCCTTGACCGCTTACAACTCCCCGTCATCCCCTGGAAAACACACATACCGCACACCGCCCAGTATATCGCATGGAGATTGTGGGCAGGAGGTACCTCGTGGTGTCAGGTGCGTACATGTTTGTATGCATGTATGTATGCATGACTTAGATGCATGTATGTATGCATGTATGTATATATGTATGTGTGTATGTGGGGGGCAAGGTCGGGGTTCGTAGATGGATGGGAAGGAAAAGGAAGGGACGGGTCCTCCTCATGACGCATCAACCCCTTCTTCTTGAGAGAGTCCGCTCGCCCCTACCGTTCCCACCCCACCCCGCCCCGCCCCACAACAACACCCCGCCAATGGCTACTCAACAGACCCGGCTCTGCTGCCGCCCATTATGGGGCGGGGAGGACCAGGGCTGCCCAAGTCAGAAGGGTACGGCATGTGGGATCCGGTGATCAGGTGGGTTGTTGGTTGGTTGACGGTTGGACAGTTGGCGATTGGCACTGGTTGGGTCTTGGGCGAGTGTGGCTGATGGTCGCTAACGCGATGGCTGCATCAAAGGTTTGCGCAGACCTGTTCGAGGGTTGCGTACACACGATTACCTTGTCACGCTGTCGATATGTATGAGGAAATGTATGTATGTGTGTATGTATGTATGCATGTATGTCCGTTCAGGTAGGGGGATCCAATACCACCCAAGGTCAGGGGGGGAGGGGAGGGGAATCCCGGGGCCGGGTCCCGGAGCCGAGTAGAGAACAGGATAGAGCGTCTCGTGGATAGGGTGTCAAAACCCAGAGGAGGTTGTGTTTTTGCAACTGGCACTGTCGTACATTGATCTTACCAAGTGTTAATTGTGGATGCCGGATGCATCCTGTTTCCCCCGTACCTCTTGTCATTCCCTCTTATTACAACCGCCACAACCACCGTAACCGTCACGACAACGGTCACAGCCAGCCAGCCACCAACCTACAACCTCCATAAGTTGTGTTGTTTGGCCGCTAGTGCTGCATGCCGAGCACTACCGCAACCGCTTCCTCTTTAACCCCTCAAACACACACCACCACACACACACCACCACACACACACCACCACACACACACCACCACACACACACCACCACACACACACCACACACACACCACCACACACACGTGTCTGCAATAGACTCGCTGTCTCACGCATGATATGATCCCCCAGCCCACAACCCCCAACACCTGACACCTCCTCACCGTCACACGCCCTCGCAGTCCGCACCCTGGAGTTCAGGGCATCGTAACGGTCTCCGAAACCACTGATGTGTGGCGCGCCGTACGGCGGTCGTACGGCCCGGCCATGGGGCTTGGCAGCCTGGGGTACGTCCCCGGTTGTGTGTGTAACTGTCTGAAGGGGGATTTCTTATGTGGCGGTGTATGTATGTATGTATGTATGTATGTATGTATGTATGATTCGGCGGAGTAAGGGGTGGGTCACCCGTGGCCTCTACTAGCCTGCTGGCAGTCCCCACCACCTCCGGGATGTTTCGGTGGACCCTTCACCATCCTTCACCACCACCACCACCACCACCACCCGCGGAATCTGACGGATCAAGGTCTCCTGGCGGCTTATCCAGCGTGTTGCCGGGATTGAACCTGGAAACGCCCGGGAGCACTGTGCCGCGCCTCAGCGCACTTGCTGTGTCTGGAGCCGATGTCTGTTTGTCTGTTA